GGGATTCATTAAGTTACTTAACATGCTACTTGTAAGCCAGGTTGGTAAGATTTGTCTCTTGACAAATGGGATGCACAGTTGTTCACTGCAATACACAAACAAACAAACAACTTGGTGGGATGTCTCACCTGCCACAAAATCCCCAAAGCCAACTGTGGTCAGAGTGACGACGACAAAATAAAAAGAGTCCAACGCTGACCATTCTTCAATATATTTAAAACTGACAGCTGGAATGGTGACAAAAACAATGCATCCGGCCAGGATGAAAAGAATGGTAGAGATCACCCGAATCTTTGTCTGACTCACTTGTTTCTTCTGCAAAAGAAAATGATCATCATTTGTGGTTTTCAATACACTGTTTCCAGAAATTGACACAAAATAAATTGCTGCCTGGCAATATCAAATTAAAAACCATCCATTCATTATGAATTACAGTTGGACTGTAAACATGAGCAATACACAATACAGATTTTAATCTTATATCAAATCACAGATATTGGCCCACAGTACATCCCCCACTGTCCAGCTTCCTACTGATAAGGTTCGTAATACTCTTTCCGGGAGAAGACTGAGTGGTACTAATGTTGAGTTTTACAGAAGCGTGACAATTGCTGTTCAAATAGGAATAGAAGCAGTGGTAGAAAAAGAAATAATGGAAACGGAAATATACTTCATGTGTGTGTATTTGAATCAAAGTGTGATAAAATGTTTAGCCATTCATGGTTTCACACCTAAGAACGAACCTTCATACAGTATGCGTGCATCATTTACTCTGACTGCATTGCAGAAATATGAGCTTTAGGTCCAAGAGGGCAGTACAATTCACCTGGATGGGACCTACAGGAAAGATATACTCTGCCTCATCAAAGCATGGGGGCAATTTCTTTATTGAAGTGTTTCACATCATATAAGGGCCAGTATGCTCCATAGTGCATGAACAGAAACCCAATTCCTATAGTGAGGCACAATGGTACAGCTGCTTCACTGCAGAAGGCTACGTAGTTTGCAAAGTTTTGCAAAGCTGCTTCAAAGGGGTACTTCACATCTACTTTCAGCAAAACAAACCATACCTTTGAAATTTGCACATCCCAAATGAACAGCCAACCCTCACATCAAGGAGGGGGACATGCTCAATCCTAAAGACATGATATCAGTCATCCTGTAACTCCATTATCAATTGTAGGTTGATAATTTTATTATTCAGCCTGATTCAATAGCAAGGGAGTTGGACTTCACTGGCCACCCTCCCCTTGAATGACTAAAATAATATAGTCATCCTCAACAGTATAAAAGTTGGTCATCAATATATAAGTATCAAAATTAAAGCAAATTTTCCTTGGCCAGAGTGGGATTCTCTCTTCTGTGCAAGCAACACCTCCAAATATAGCAGGATTGGTTTCAAATAAAGTTCAATTGCACTGGGACAGGACAACATTAAAATTAGCTTTCCCCAAACTGATGTATTCCAGATATACTGGAAGTCCAATTCCCACTATTCACAATCAGCTATGGTCATGCTGGCTGAGAATTCTAGTGGTATAATCCCAATATATTTGGACAAGTATTGACTTAGGGAAGGCTGTTATAGAACACTGATGAAATATCATATTGCATTGTTGTTCCCTTCCTCCCCACTTTCACATATACAAATATACAAACATGCATCCTTACATAGAGAAGATACTTCAAACATGAAATATGCAACTGAGGAGATCAGAATGAGTGAAACAAGCATCTCAGTTTTCCTTCAGGTCAAACAGGAAGTATCAAAAGAAGATTATAAACCACAAATATTGTGAAATATGGCCAATTTAGTTAGCAGCTGGCAGGGAGAGAATGATCCATTCCAAGACACCTCCAGGTCTACTCTCGTTATGAGACAAGGATGTGGTGTAGTTCATTTTGAATGCCACTTTCAGATGTGAACAGTTTCCTTAGACTGTACAGTTTTAGGGAAAGCTATGCAGAGATTATGTAGTAATGAAAGGTTTTCTGATTGGTTCCCATCTTTCCCACCTTTCACTCTCTTGAACATCCGTCTGCTCAGACAAAACAGCAGATGAAGTAAATGAATTTTTCAGGGATCATATAATTTTAGACTGCAGGTAAACATTTGCATGACTGAAGACTATTTCAGATAAAATCTTCCTGCACAAAGAAAATCAGCATTCGAAGAAAAGAATATTAAACTAGTTTTTAACCTTAGAATGCTATTGTCGTTTTGAAGAAGGTGAAAGAAAGAAAAATCCAGGAAAAGCAATCAGAGTTGGATGATTCCCATCTGCTGACTGAAGCACTTTAGACTGTGAATAGTTTTCACTTCGGCAATTTATGTGAACTGGGAGGACCCTAGATTGAATCATTAAACTCCCCCACACACAAATAACACACTGTTTAAGGATACTACCGTATTTTTCCGACAAAAAGACGCCCCCATGTACAAGACGACCCCCACTTTTCCAGCCCAAAATTAAAAAATCAATAT